TTATCACATCAAATAGGCAAGACATTCAGTCTACCTATGTGAATGTCATGCCTATGAGGATATTGAAATATAATGCAAGAAGATAATTTTAAGACAAAGTGACAATCAGTAACATTTATGTCTTGCTTTAATATATTCAGCAGCATAAAGGAGACAGCAATTCCCTACTCATCTTCTATGACCCTATGTCAGATCACTCGTGTCTCCTTGGACTTCATAAATGCAGTGACTAATATCTCTATAAAGAATTTTCTTACAGGGTATTAGGGATGAGAGTAGCCTTCTGCACTCAAAGAGGAATATTCAGATGGCATATAGGCCTCTAAAAATTTCCATCTTTATGCCATGGATTCTTAATTCATATCTGGGTTTTAGAAAGTTAACATTTGCAAAAATTTATGAATGTATCACATTTCTTCATATGCAAGATGCAAATTTCTTCCATGTCCTCCAAATTAGCTATGGTCCATGAAGTTAAAAATCAGAATCTCCTATGCCACAGATTTTGTACAGTAATGTTTGTTCCTATCCTATTATCTTGAATTGCAGCTTAAATGATTAAACTCCTTATTGCTCACTTAGAGTAGTGAATTCATGAGAACAGAAAGCAAGCTTGGATTCTTCCATCATTGCTTTGTCTAATGATTCTGAAGACTCTACTGTTTTCATCAAAAGGCTATCACTGAACTCAAGAAAATAATTTGAACATTAATAATTGACATATAAAGTGGAGTAACATAAAATAAATATGTCTTCCTTGCAGGTGTTTTTGGAATCTCTGTGGAAATAAAGCAAAAGTAGAAATTTCAACACTTTCTGTGTACAGTAGCTACCATGCCTTCTGGCAGTTCTGTCCATGAGGAATACTTACTTTCTATCCTGCAGCATCTTAAAGTTGAAAGAAGCATTTCAAATCAACTTCCCTGATGGAGAAGGCATTTGACTCTGAAATATTCTTTGCTCAGAGAAAGCCATCCTTACAACATATAAACTGGTCCTCTTGGTGATGAGGTCTTGACTTAGCTTGTAAAGCAGCTTAGTCCATTGTTAGAGACAGAGTCCGAAGAGTGAGGCCATCGTTCTGTTGAGTTAAAATCTGAACTTACTCAGTCTTTTTAATTTAATAAAATGTTTCTTGAGTAACTACTCTGTGGCAGGTACTATGACAAGTCTCAGGGTTACAGTGGAAATTTTAACAGATTCTATAATTAACCTCACAGAGACTATACATCTAGTTTAGAATGGCTCTTGAAGTGAGACAAAGTGAGTTCACACCCGATTTTCCAGGAGAGCCTCAGAATTGGAGATGGTCCAGTTCCCTCACTGTCTTGTTTCCAGGCTGTACATCTCAAATGTCTTCATGTGAAGTGTTTTGTGCACCCCTTCAATATCCCAGGCAGCCTTTTTGATGGAGGAATCTGTTTCTCACTGTCCATATGAATAATATGTTGCCAAAAATGAGAAGCAATACTCAATTCTGCTGTTGCTAAAACAACAAGATTATCTCATTGTGCAGAGCCAATATCTATACTTTATAATCTCTCTCCTGATGTTACTTATGCTCTGACTTATGTGAGAAACACCACAAGGTATCTAACTAATAGAGGACAGTGAGAATCCATAGAAAATGCCATCTTGCCTTTCCAAAGAATCAGCTAACTAAAGCAGAGCCCACAGTTCTCCTCTCCTCATGCTGCTGTTCTCCCATGATGGCTCTGAGACTATAGGGCTGGGGCTCTGCCATTTAATCTGTACTCCAAAGCTTGGGGTAGGCATTCATCTCAGTTTCAAACTCTAAACATGATCACACCATTCTACTTAGTCCTACTTCCTTCACTCTATCAGGATACTGATACTGACAGCACTCCCTGATAAATTCCCCAAATGAAAAATATCAGAGGACAGTACTGTGGTGTAGTTGGTAAAGCCGCTGCCTGAAGCACCAGCATCCCATATATATGGGCACCGGTTCTGGTCCCAGCTGCTCTACTTCCAATCCAGCTCTCTGCTATGGCCTGGGAAAGCAGTAGAAAATGGCCCAAGTCTTTGGGCCCCTGCACCCATGTGGGAGACTCAGAAGAAGCTCCTGGCTCCTGGCTTTGGATCAGTGCAGCTCCAGCAGTTGAGGCAAGTTGGGGAGTGAACCAACAGATGGAAGACCTCTCTGCCTCTGCTTCTCTGTGTAACTCTGACTTTCAAATAAATAATAAATAAATCTTTAAAAAATATATCAGCTTGTTCTTTATGGGCAAGTGGTCTAAGACAGGGATGCATGTGGATTCAGGTGCAAACAAGTTCCACTTAACCAAGTTCTAGAGTTGAATGGCTCTTTAGAATTGCCCCACAATCTGGCAATACCTTTCTCCCTTATATTACCCAGTCAGTGGCAATGGGTGATCCTAGAGGACAATGGTAAGTCTTTTTAGCTGGGAATAAATCCCAGCAGAGGAACTAAGGATCTCAACTCTTTGTGTAGTGGGCAGTGGCATCCACTATAATTCCTAAATGACTCAGTAGAGTACAGAACCCACCTACCCACATTAGACATCTGCATGAGGAAAGGTAAAATATCTGCATGCATGTTAAACCCTGATATTCCATGGTTCATCTGTCACCACCAGAGTAGCCTAGACTATCTTGCCAAGTAAACCTACCTTGTAATATTGGAGAGTACATGACAATGAGAAGCACTTTACATGATAGTGGTCTTTAAAGTTTGTACTCCATTCCCCACAGAGTGAGAGACTTTAGAAAACTGTCTCTATTTATATTGTTATCTCCCATTCCTTTGTGGTTCTCAAAATGTGTTCTCAGGGCCCTCATATCAGCACCATCTGCAAACTTGTGAAAAATGCAAATTTGCAGGCTCATCCCACATCAACTGAATTAGATACTCCAAGTATGGGGTCCAGAAATCCATGTTTTTTTTATTATTTTATTATTTTTTTGACAGCCAGAGTTAGACAGTGAGAGAGAGAGAGACAGAGAGAAAGGTCTTCCTTCCATTGGTTCACTCCCCAAATGGCTGCTATGGCCGGAGCTGCACCGATCCGAAGCCAGGAGCCAGGTGCTTCCTCCTGGTCTCCCATGCGTGTACAGGGCCCAAGCACTTGGGCCATCCTCCACTGCCTTCCCGGGCCACAGCAGAGAGCTGGACTGGAAGAGGAGAAACCGGAACCAGAACCCAGCGCCCATATGGGATGCCGGCACCGCAGGTGGAGGATTAACCAAGTGAGCCACGGCGCCAGCCCCTAGAAATTCATGTTTTAACAGTTATTCCAGCATCTCTGATTCATGGTAAGTTTGGGAATTACTTCTCTAATTCAATTCCTTCATTGGCCCCGATAACATTCTGAATGTTCAAGCCAAAGCCTTGTGATCCTTTGAGCATCTTTTTTGCATGTAGGACCCCATACTACTCTTTATATTGCTCTATTCTATTCACTGCATATTATGTGTTAGGATCTATGTAGAAATGTGTCTCTTCTAGAATATACCCTCCTCCAGGGAAGATATTAGGTAATTTTTTTTACCTTGCACTGGTCTTGACACATAATGAGTTCTCAATAAATTCATCCCACTGATAAATATTTATTTGGAACATATCCCTTGCCATGGATTTTTCTAGATATTACCAAATGGTTCTATCTAACAAGAAAATATTGACAGTCTCAAAAATGAATGCAATAAAGTGACGCAGATGCTACAGGCAAAATGATATTTGTAATAATGCATTGTGTGTCTGGCACTCTTCTAAGTGGTTTGCACAAGTTAATTCACTTAATCCTCATAGTAACCCCAAGAGGTACAATTATATAAAATAAAAAGAACATAATTCATCCTAAGGAAAAACTTTTGTTTTGTCTAACCATAACTAATACTGTTGCTTCTGTGTATAAAAGGCAAAAGAGTATCCCCATAGGTATAGCAAAGGTAAACATTTGGTTTCCTTATAGTATAATATTTTAAAACTTTATTTTTCACTTCCCATAAGTGAAATAGGAAAGGGAGCAGAATAAACTAATTAATGGTAAATGTCTTAAAAATCATAAAACTTTACTCTCTAAGGGAAAAACTTAAAATATTTATTTCAGAGACACACACACAGAGATTGAGACAGAAAGGGCTTCCTTCTATTAGTTCACTTTCCAAGTGCCTACACTGGGTACAGCTGGGCCAGGTTGAAACTAAGAGCCTAGAACTCAATCCAGGTGTTCTCTATGAGTAGCAGGATGCCAACTACATAACCCATCATCTTCCTTCTCCTAGAGTGCATATTTAGCAGGAAGCTGAAGTCAGAAGCAGAGGCAGGACCTATGATAAGGGATGCTGATTTGCCACTAAGTGAAATGCCTGCTCCTGTGCTTTTAGGCACTAGGAGCAAAAGAAAAAAATATTGGAGCAAGGAATCTTCAAATCATAGGCCTGAGATAATCATCTTGCTTGACGTTCAGGGTAAAGTCATCCTGTCCTTCTCCAAAATGTGAAAACATTCTCTTTCTATGGTATTTTAATAATAAAAGTAAAGAAACTAATTTTCAATTCTGAAAGCGTTGGTGAAATGCAGAATTTTAACCCTATTAATATATAGAATAATTTCTTGAATTCCCTATTTTGAACTTCTCTTTCAAAATAATTTTTGACTAGTGTTTAAATTATTCATCATTATTTACATTAATTGAATTCAGCAATTTTCCCTAATCAAACTCCTCTGAAAGCTTATATTATCAAGAAATGAAAAAAAAAAACCTATATTATTGGGCCACCAAAACTATTTGTAATTAGCATGATAATGTCATATTAACTATGAACATGGAAAAATGTTTAGGAATAAAGCAGAACTTTAAGTATTAAGCCTATCTCTTCTCAGTACATGTGAAATAAACTATGCAATATTTATCATGGTATTTACATCAGGATACCTTGTATTATAATATAAGGCTAAAAATCCTTGAAATCCAAGAAAATCAACAGGTAGTGTGTTCGTTTATATCGCTTACCTTAAGGGTCCCAGTTATTCACTTCTCCCTCCATTTGCTATACGATTTTGTAGTTCTCATTAAAGAAGTAGAATACGTTTCTTGATATCTGACTTTGAATTTGGCCACATGGATTACCTTGGTCAACAGAATGAAACAGTAGTGAGAGTATATCAGTTTCGAGCCTAAGCAATGAGAGGCCGTGTATGGTTCTGCTTTTTCTCTTGACCTCTGCCATCTCAATGAAAAGAGTATGCTCAGCTTCCAGGTACAAGAAAGAGAAAGAGAGAAGCCTGGGTCAGAGCCATTTACCAAGCTCCTTCTAGGCAGGCCAGTCCCTGACACATCCACAGATGCAGAGTGAGGAATAAACACTTGTTGTTGAATGCTGTGGAAGTTTGTACTGTTGTGCAGCATTACTCTGGCCATGGTTGACTAAAATAGATGGGAGTATCCACTCTTTGTTCCAAGATGCCTTCGGATTCAAACTTGTTATTTAACCAATACCAATAATGGCTCTTCACCTTGAAGTACCAAAAATAGGAAAACAAGAAACTAGACCAAAAACAAAGACTAAGGACAAGAAATGGCTCCTTGGAGTGGCTTTCAATTCACAGATGATAACAGAGAAGAACTCAGTCCTCTCAATGAAACTCGGGGACTATAGCTTGACACCTTTAATTAAAAAGACATTAAAAAATTAACACAGAGCTCTTCCTGCTTTGCTCCTGGGTAGCTCATGAAAGATTGTTGCTTTGCTGTTAGAATGCCTAATATCTCAGTCCAAGCCCATCTGCTTCTCCTCCTACAGGAAAGATTGTGGATGTCAGTGCCTCCAGTGAGAAACTGTCCTGTTGTGGTTTAATTTCCTCAGCACTGATAATGTAAAAGCGATCTGGCAGAGTGAATTAGTGCATGATTCCAAAGCACAAAGTTCTGATCTTCTGCCATATTCCTGACATAAATCATCACAGTCAAATATTTTTCACTGCCAAGCACGTAGAGAGGCCTATTTGAACTGACATGATCTTCTTTTATCTACTGCAAAAGAAAAACACCTTTGTGTGGTGTTATGGGGGCATAACTCCTAGGGCAGTGATTCTATAACATTAATAGGCTTACAAATCAGTAAACTATGTTAAAAGCAGAATCTGATGCAGTCACAGTAGAAAGTGAACTTGAGATCCTGAATCTATAAACAGATCCTCTGTGCAGTTGATGCCATTGGAACAAAACCTGGAGGCCACTCTTGTTAATCTATGAGCATTGAACAGTGTCCACTATGATGAAGTTAACCCAGATTTTAGGATTGATGTTCAGTACTAAAAGAGTAAAATATGGTGAAAAAAAAAAAAAGAGTTCAGGGAGTCAATCTGGTTATTTGAGTCAAAGATTTTAAATCTCACACATTTATTCAACCTGAGGTATATCCTTAGGCAAGCTGTTGCCTCTCATCCATATTCAATGTATTTGCCAATAATATGGGAACAATTATTGTGTGAAATGAGTTAGTTAACCCATATAATATTTTGCTTCCTAGTTACCAATGAACAGCAATCACATCATTTAATATAGTAAGATTTCAATTAACCATAATCTCACTTTCCCTAATTAACTGCCCTACTTCACACATTTAGAGGGGAATGAATCCTCTATTTCTCATTTATCTGTTTATTTTGTGAAACAATGTTTTCATAATAAAGAGACATGGGAACAAGATTTGCTATTATGTCTGAGATGTTTAGATGCCATTCATTCAATAAAATTTAATTTTAGGCCTATAATTGGATAAAACTGATGATGAGGGCTTTGAAGTACTCAAAAGTAAAGTTTCACACCCTAAAGGAAGCTAAATTCCAGAAAGGATCAGGATTCATTTTCTTTGATGGTGTTATCTTCCTCTTGAATCTATTTAATTAAGATTTCCTAGAATTCTGAGACTGAATATATTTCCTTAGTAACATTCTTTTGCTTTTAAGATGCATTTGATTTTGTAGAAAATCAAAGAAGTTCTCTCCATAGATATGAATTTAGAAGCTGTCCAGAGCAGCTACTCTGTTGTCTAAAAGAGATTATGTAATCTTCACACCTTCAAAACTAGATTGTTCACAGTTAAGCATCCTCAATATACGTCACTGGTAAATGTCTTTGGAAACCAAAAGAACAAAATAAGACAAAACAATTCATAGTGTATATTCATTTGGATGGATGGAAATGACTGAACTCGTGGGCTCTTTTTCTTTTTCTTTTTTTTTGACAGGTAGAGTGGACAGTGAGAGAGAGAGACAGAGAGAAAGGTCTTCCTTTGCCATTGGTTCACCCTCCAATGGCCACTGTGGCCTGCGTGCTGCGGCCGGTGCACTGCGCTAATCCGAAGGCAGAAGCCAGGTGCTTCTTCTGATCTCCCATGGGGTGCAGGGCCCAAGCACTTGGGCCATCCTCCACTGCACTCCTGGGCCACAGCAGAGAGCTGACCTGGAAGAGGGGCAACCGGGACAGAATCCGGCGCCCTGACCGAGACTAGAACCCAGTGTGCCAGCGCTGCAGGCAGATTAGCCTATTGAGCCGTGGCACTGGCCTGAACTCATGGACTCTTGAAACTAATTTGTTAACTCTTGAAACTTGGTAAAAATCACTTACTTACTATCACTAAATCTCACACTCCTCATCTGTAAAGTTAAAACAACAATACCTAATTTTAAAACTGGAGAACATATTTGCTCAATATATGACAGCTATGGTATGTATGTCTATCATTTTTCCTTATACTTTTCAAATAAGATAACAACTATCTAAAGCAAAAAGAAAATAGAAAAAAGAAAAATTTGTTCAGAAGGTTTTGCCTCACAGCCTTTCTTGTAAAAACACAAGAATGAATGTGGAGATTTCTGTTCATTGAAGCCTTATTAAACTCAACTATTCTGCTTTGGTTCTTCCTCTTCTGGACCCCAACTTACTTCTTCTCAGAGAGCTTACATTCTATATATTTGCTTTGATTCTTCTTATAAAAAAGATTTATTTTATTTGAAAGTCAGAGTTACACAGAGAGAGAAGGAGAGGCAGAGAGAAAGAAGTCTTCCATCCTCTGGTTCACTCCCCAATTGGCTGCAACGGCCAGAGCTTTGCCGATCTGAAGCCTGGAGTCAGGAGCTTCTTGTGGATTACCCATGTGGGTGTAGGGGCCCAAGGGGCCACCTTCCACTGCTTTCCAGGCCATAGCAGAGAGACCGTATCAGAAGTAGAACAGCCGGAACTCGAACCAGCGCCCATATGTGATGCCAGTGCTGTAGGCAGTGGCTTTATCCTCTATGCCACAGCACTGGCCCCTATACATGCTTTGATTCTACAAAGAATCTTCCCCCATAGAATCAGAAAAACCCCAACTCCTTAACTATGTACGAAGTCACCTATGCCAGCAGCTGCAGGGTGTCTAACAGGTAACAAAGCCTGAAGCTATGGAAAATCACATATTTCTCAGGAAATGAATTGCAGGCATTCAATTTAGACTCAGGGGTGGGTTTTTTTTTCACCTATGAATGCCAACCCTAGGTTTCACCATGTTGGCTGACTTTGTATTTCAATTATAAACATTCCTATTATATAACCACAGAATTGCAAGTAGATAAATAAAAGTTAGCCAACATATGCATAACTTGTAATATTCAACTAAAAACTCAAAAATAATGTGGGAATTGAGATTTTTTTTTTTACCTAGAAAATTTTTATTTTTTAAAAAAAAACTTTTATTTAATGAATATAAATTTCCAAAGTACGACTTATGGATTACAATGGCTTCCCCCCCATAACGTCCCTCCCACCCACAACCCTCCCCTTTCCCATTCCCTCTCCCCTTCCATTCACATGAGGATTCATTTTCAATTCTCTTTATATACAGAAGATCAGTTTAGCATACATTAAGTAAAGATTTCAACAGTTTGCTCCCACACAGAAACATAAAGTGAAAAATAATAGATGATTTTTTAAATGATGATGAAATCAGATCAGACCTATTGTCATGTTTAATCCCAGTGAGAGTCAAGTTGGGAATTGCTAATTTCTTCTTCTTTTTTTTTTAACAGAAGATCAGTTTAGTATACATTAAGTAAAGATTTCAACAGTTTGCACCCCCATAGAAACACAAAGTGAAATATACTGTTTGAGTACTCGTTATAGCATTAAGCCTCAATGTACAGCACATTAAGGACAGAGATCCTACATGAGGAGTAAGTGCACAGAATTTTTAAGTTTTTTGGAAGAGTTGCTTTTCTTAATGGACATTCTTTATATTTCCAATGTAAATAGTCATCTTCATATATTGAAGGCCTACTGAGTTCTAGATGCATATTTATTTGATGCAACATTTACAATAACTTGATCAGCTAGAGAGTGTTATCACCCAATTTACAGAAGAGAAAATTGAGAGGCAGAATGGTTAAGTAAAATCTTGCCCAAGTCAAAAAACCAAAGTGGCAGGACTAGGAGTTACATGATCTTCCTGATTGCAGGTTGAGAACTGAGTTTAAAATACAAAGCTATTTTTATAAGACCATGCAAGTGTACTTCAAAATGAACTTCACCTTCAAATCAAAGAAATGACAACTTCCAGGCTACCCCTAGTCACCATTTAGCTTCCTTCTCTTTATGTTTCTTTTATAAAAGCAGCTCATGCAATATTTGGCTGGTTTCAGTTTCCCATGCTTGTCACATACCTCTCTATCCACTATTTCAGGATAATTCTGAGCTACTGAGAAGTACTATATCAAAACAGCTGAGACCATGGGAGAGAGCTGGTTAATGAAGGTCTTGGAAAACACAGAAAGCAAGGAATTATTGAGGAATGGAAAGTTTATGCAGGTCTACATATTCATGAAAGAGATTTCCTCATGAAGGCAAACTTGTGTTCAGAGCAACAAAACAAGAAATTAAATCCTTTGCAGAGTCTAGCTTTGGGGAAAATATTTCTAAAAGCTCTCTTTAAGCCAGACTTTGGGATAAAAGGAGTAGAGGTGGCAGCCTGAGGAGAGAGAGATGCTAGCCAAGAAACAGGAGGAATGTGGTCGATGAGAGGAAAACAAGAACCTAGAGAGGAAGCTCAAGGAGAGGAAAAATGTGGAATGGGGAATGCACAAAATGAAACA